TAGGAAGCTGAAATTTTACAAGGTGTCACAAATGCGAGGGAACAGTGGTGATCGATTATGGCAGTGTATTCGTCGCCCAGTGAGATGGGCGGGAATGTACTTTAGGCGAGGTCAACAATGGGTTGATCCCTGACCTTGGGTATTTGGAAGAAAAGGTTTGAGAATGAGCGGCGGAATTGGAAGGTAGCAGCGGACTTGGAAAGGAGCGGCGGCCTTGGAAACTGTTTTTGGCTGTTTTGGAGTGTTCGATTCAAATATATGTTTCATACTTGATAGTTTTACGACAAACTGTTTCGAGTACGCCAGGATGTTCTATGTTTGTACGTAACTTGGAAGTTTTAAACTGAGCTTCGAGGCACACTTAGGTCTCGCATTACGCGCAAGTTTCATTTATCCACTTACTCTGAAACCACTCTAAAGAAGCCAAAATTCTGTGGGAAAATTTACTATCCTGTAAGCGTAAAATCAGCTTTCATAAATGCATCAGTCTCTCATACGGATACGTCGAAGTTGAAATGCACTTTGCTAGAACATTTTCATGCAAAACGTGCTGTAATTATACACCATTGAGGTTCAAATTTCATGCAGTCAATGCAATACTACCGTTCCAGCCGACGCCCCATCTCCCCTACTTAAAAGAAAAAGCAAAAAGCATTGCCAGCGTAAGTGTGCGTGTTAAACTGGAAGGCTTTTATACTATTAACGATCTGACTGCACCAAAATTCGACAAGCCTGTTGCGTCGTTACTTGGCTTAATGGAAGCAAAGACGTAGGATATAAGATTCCTAAAGTACAACATGAAGATATTAGGTGCAGTTAAGTTTGCTCATATTAATACAGCTTCTTTCACAGTATGCCCCTGGATACCGACGAAGATGAAGACTGGTACGAAAGGAGAGATCCAGGAAGACTGCGGACTGATGAGACCTGGACAAATGATGGAATGCCTGAGAAAGGGCTGAGAAAGCCATTCACACTGGCAAGGAGTCAAGCAATGGCTATTGCCGGCGTAACACCGGATATTAGCGAAGCTTTCGAGGGCACATACAGGTAATCCCCTCATCAAACCAGTTTGTGTGATTGTTACTAAAGCTTCCAGTTCAAGCCTTTTTTTTTT